TTTGAACAGACCAAGAAAAAAGAAAGAAAGAAAGAAAGAAAGAAAAAAGAAAGAAAGAAAGAAAAAAGAAAGAAAGAAAGAAAGAAAGAAAGAAAGAAAGAAAGAAAGGTATGAAAAAGAAAAAATACATTGAAATCAGGACATGAGAAACGAACGTCATCTATTTTATATTTTATTTTCAATTCCTTTCTTTATGAATATCTTCGGGAATGATCAATTATTTCCCATGAGAAGAACGTTAATAAATTTTTGGTTTCTGTGTTTATTGTTTCGATTCATTAGAAAAAAACTGAATATTGGTTAGTGACAACACTGTCCGAAAAATCCTCGTATTGGGAGAAGAAAAGGAAAAGAATTATTAATGGTTTTTCGTGCTTAAACGAGAGAAAAAAATAATAAATATGTCTGGATATTCGCGAGCAACTTAATAGGTTCTTCTGTATTCCTTTCTATTTGTTCATACAGAGATGATTTTGCATAATATTTTCCTCTTAACACTAAAGTTAAGCAATGTCTGTCGTGATCAGTATTTATTGGGTAACAATAGCGGAAACCAGTCCAAACGGCGGCTTAAGATATCGATTCAACTTTTCACCGTGTATATTTCATTGTAACTCCGAAATCTTCTGTTTCATATAGTTGAAAATAGAATGACATTTCCCCGAATAATTGTTGCGTCTCTCCCTATATATATATATATATATATATATATATATATATATATGCTTGGATGGTTTGGACGTGGTTTCCCGAGACGGGAGAACCGGGTTCCTATCACAAGATGCGCCATTCATCTGGAGTGCAACATCTTGATGTCATCAGTCAGTCTTGGGAGACGATCCCAGCATTCGCTACCTTTGGAAAGTGCTTGAAAACCGTATCCCGTTCAAAATGCTTAGCAGTTCTTTGACATAAAAACCCAATCTCTAGAAAACGCACTAATGGGGTACTAGGAAAAAGAGGAAATTCATCATTATATTCCCTCATTACAGGTTTTATTTCTGATATGCCCCGGAAAGGGATATATCTGTTCGAAGTAGCAAAGTGGTTGTTGACTACTGTAACCGAGTAGGACAATCTAGCAGGTAACTGTAATGGACTGGTCCTCGTCGTACTGGTAGGCAATGGGCGTAGTCAATAAGCGTCGACCTATAACTCCGCATCAGTCTGTATTTATAGGTGACACCAGCCAATGATATTACCGTAAGGTGGAACCCAGGTGTATGCATATTCATTACATCAATTTTATACGTAATATGTTAATGGCAATGGTAATATTATCCGATTCTCTATAAGGAATTATTTGGCATCTATCGTCTGCAAAGTCAGTACTGCTTTAGTTTGTATTTTATAACACGATTCTCTAAAAACAGGTTTGTTTCTTTGTTTGTTTGTTTGGTTGGGTTTTTTATTTTAGGAAAACGGTTTTCTCAAAGTCTAGTAGCTGTTTCTTTTCGAAATTTATTTTTAAATGATGTGGAGTGTTAACATCTTAATTATGTCATTATTTTCTCTTCGCGTTACATGTGCAATCCATTTTAGCTCTTGCTGCTATTGGAAGTCTTCAAGTGATGTGAATTCTGTTTCTTCGTATGTGATTCTGTAATGACAGACCACAATATTCAAATAGGGATTATTTTTGTCAAAACCTTCAGGCTTTACTAACTCAAATCGTTAGGAAGATGTTGTATACAGCTGACCGTTTAGATATTTCTGTACGTGTCAGCTCGAGACTTTCATTTTTTTTTAACCGTTTCACCCCAGGCAAGGCGGGAAGTCACTATCACGCAAGGGGATACAGAGATTTAGAGCAAATAGGAGTGATAGAGAAAAAGATGAAGAGAAGGATAGGGGATAGATCAAGGCAACTGAAGACGTCGATTGACATTAGATTTGAAGAGTTGGAGATTATAGCTATCAGGGAAACAGGAAAAGGGAAGGGAGTTCCACGGGCGAGAGGTGAAATATATGAAGCTATTGGAGTAGAAGAGACGGCTAGATTTAACAGTTTCAACATTTAAAGGGTGCCAGCCTCGTAGGACGCTTGAATTCATGAAGTCTGGGAAACAGCGAAAGCAGCTCATCGCAGCAATTACCATAAAAGTATTTGTAAAAAAGACAGAGGGAGACGACGACACGTATGTGAGAGAACGACTGCAGACGAGATGCCAGATCAGGGCCAATTACATTGCATATCTGTCTCTGGATCTTATCAAGAACCCCGAGACAAACAGAAGCCATGTATCCATATAAAAATCTCGAGCTGAGAAGTTATTTAAGAATATGGCACAAGTTCGCAGGTTGACGTTTTGGTTTCGTAGCAATTTGCAATGTTGGGAGAAACTGCATCTGATATTCTATGTACGATGTCTTTTTTCTCTTATACTTAATTTGTTATAGCTTATCTATACGTCGAGGAATCTGAAGATTTACTAATACAACATTCTGTATTTTTATGATGGATTTAGGATAGGTGCCATTATGGCTCTAACCGAACAGAATAGCTAAAAAAAAGAAAGGCATATATGTATTGATCTCAAAGTCTTCTTCTAACGACATATACATATATGTTACCAATTTGTCTCCCTCAGAAAAAATTATAACATGAAATCAACAAGAAGTGTGAAAGGATTTAAAATCGAAAAGGACTTACATGCTATATTTCCCGAAGTTGAAACAGGGAGGACGATGGTGTTTTGATATGATTCAGATGTGACCGTGTCGGCTCCTTTCTTCACCGTACAACTATGGGCTTATGACGTCTGTTATCTCCGTAGATGGCCTGATAGACGCGTCTTGACTCAGGGAGATCAGATAGGTCCATGCATGCTAAATAGCAACTGGCGTCCTTCACTCTGAACTGGCCACACTCACCGGGTGTCACGTGACCCTCGCGAATTCATCTTTGTTCAAGGGGAGATAATCACCATTTCTATACCTACAGAACTATATGAACCCTTTCAAAGTGACTAAAAAAGAACAAAAGGAGCACGTATTCTCATCCATTGCTTAGCACCCACATGTATCGTCCTCTTGCACAACATTGCACCTAACATGCAACACCATATAAGTCTCTCTGTAACGCACACCGTGTACTGGTATGAACGTTACGGTGACACACAAAATGCTAACGACCGAAACTTTTAACAGAATATCGAATACATACTAACGTGTCTATGTAGTGCATTGGCATCGTCTTTAGGGACGTTGCATTTTACGGAATATTCAGGATATAACCTGATATATTCCAGACTGCAGGTATAAATCGATCAGCTGCGATAAATGGATAAAGAGATATTTATCTGCAGAATATACACGAAAGTGATGTGAATGTGTCGCATGTCTTTATAAAAGGGCACCTCGACTCAATTGGAAATCTTCAGCAGTCAGTCCGTGTACAAACGAATTTCGTTTACTTATTTCACCGTGACAATCATCCTAAAAATTATCGAAAATGAGCAGGATCTAATAGCATAGACAGAAATATAGGTTTATAAATAGATATGAACACATTGAGATAGATAGATAGATAGATAGATAGATAGATAGATAGATAGATAGATAGATAGATAGATATGATTAGATAGATAAAACAAATTGAGAAAGATAAATATATATATATATATATATAACAGATAGATAGATAGATAGATAGATAGAGATGATCAGATAGATATGAACAAATTGAGAAAGATAAATATATAGATGCATATATATATATATATATATATATATATATATATATATATATATATTCATAAACAGAACAGGTTATAGATATGAACATAGTTAATTTTGAGATAGATAGATAGATAGATAGATAGATAGATAGATAGATATGATCAGATAGATATGAACAAATTGAGAAAGATAAATGGATATTTTTAAGATTGACATAGATAGCTATGGACAGGCTAAGATAGATAGATAGATAGATAGATCAGATCGATATGATCAGATAGATATGAACAAAATGAGAAAGATAAATGGATATTTTTAAGATTGACATAGATAGCTATGAACAGGCTAAGATAGATAGATAGATAGATAGATAGATATGAACAAATTGAGAAAGATAAATAGATACATATAAACAGATTGAGATATGAACTATGAGGTAAATTGATAGATATGAACAGACTAAAATGGATAGATAGATAGATAAATAGATATGATAATATTTTTAACTTTTATTTTTCAAGACCGATAGAGATTGTAAAACAATTATATTGTAGTAAGGCTCGAACTGGATTTGAAACAATTATAGATAAGTAACTAATTCAATCTCTAAGTGGTATCATCGCCATGTTCAGGGTTGATATCGAGTGAACATAGCAATAAATATATAATTTGGCGAAAAGTATCGAGGACCTGTGGTAGCAAGTCTCTTTATGGTATTGTTAATTTTTCCTGTTCTTTTTTCTTTGTTTTTATTTCTGTTTTATTTGTTGATTTTTGACTATTTATTTCTTCCCAAATTACTGCTGGATTTACATCTTTACTGTGACAGTAATAGTATGCTCTCGGAATATTGTTGTCATATAAACAGAGAGTCCTTCGCATAGAAAAGCCGAGAGAAGGTGATTAACGTTATTTGTATTATTACACGGTGAATCTTGAAGCTGATTTTAATGAGGTTATCGTCAGTGCGTTATTGAGCAATGCGTGAAAGGTCACAGCTTTTTTTTCTGCTGTGATAATACCCGCAAAAATACTGTGAAATATATTTATATAGACACAGAGAGATTGAGTTTCTGTTTCACTTAAGTCAAATAGAAAGAAAGCAAGAAAGAAATAAAGAAAACAATCTTCTAGAATAAACAAGGAAAGAGAGTTTTCTAGAAGAAATGAGTAAGAAACCACAAAAGATAGATAGATAGATAGATAGATAGATAGATAGATAGATAGATAGATAGATCTGAACAGAATGAGATAGATAGATAGATAGATAGATCTGAAGAGAATGAGATAGATAGATAGATAGATAGATAGATAGATAGATAGATCTGAACAGAATGAGACAGATAGATAGATAGATAGATAGATAGATCTGAACAGAATGAGATAGATAGATAGATAGATAGATAGATAGATAGATAGATAGATAGATCTGAACAGAATGAGACAGATAGATAGATAGATAGATAGATAGATAGATAGATAGATAGATCTGAACAGAATGAGATAGATAGATAGATAGATAGATAGATATAGATAGATATGAACAGAAATCTGAACAGAATGATAGATAGATAGATAGATAGATAGATAGATAGATCTGAAACAGAATGAGATAGATAGATAGATAGATAGATAGATAAATAGATAATGATAGATAGATAGAACAGAGATAGATAGATAGATAGATAGATAGATAGATAGATCTGAACAGAATGAGATAGATAGATAGATAGATAGATAGATAGATAGATAGATAGATAGATAGATAGATCTGAATAGAATGAGATAGATAGATAGATAGATAGATAGATAGATAGATAGATAGATAGAATAAAGGGGTAAACCATCTTATAGAACAAATAAAGAATGAAAGTTTTATAGAAGAAAGAATAACGTAATAAAAAACCCAGAGAATTATGAATGAAAGAAAGAAAGAAAGAAGGAAAAACAATATCACAGAACAAAGAAAGAATCAAAGTTTTATAGGAAAAGCAAGCAAAAAAGAAACCACAGAAGAATGAAAGAAAGAAAATTGAAAGAAAGATAGAATGAAAGAAGAAAAGAAAGAAATAAAAAGAAGGAAAAATCATCTTCTGAACTAAAGAAAGAATGAATGTTTTATTGAAGACAGAAGTAACGTAAGAAAGAAAACAGAGAAGAAAGAAAGAAAGAAAGAAGAAAGAAAGAAAGAAAGAAAGAAAAAATACAGAATAAAAAGGATACAAATTTATAGAATAAAGAAAGAAACAAAATTTTATAAAAGAAAGAAGTAAAGTAAGAAGGAAATCACAAAAGAAAGAAAGAAAGAAAGATGGAAAGAAAGAAAGAAAGAAAGAAAGAACGAAAGAAACAAACAAACAAAGAAACAACCAAAAAAATCCTTTTTTAGGAAGAGTGAAAAGAAGAAAAGGAAGGGAAAATAATTTTATAGAACAAAGAAACCAGAATTCATTTTCAGGAAGAGGAAAAAAAGCAAACTAACTCGAATGCATGAAATAAGATGTCTTCGTGCAAAAAGTAGAAGGAAAGAAAGAAATGTATAAACAACGAAATAAAGAAATATACAAAGAATGAAAAACGATTTTATAGATCAAAGAAGAAAGAAGTTTCATAGAAGAAAGAAAGAAAGGAAGAAAGAAAAAAGAAAGAAAGAAGGAAAGAAGGCAAGAAAGAAATACTTTTTTAGAAACAGGAAAAAGAAGTAAACAAAATCAAATGCATAAAAAAGCAAACTAAATCTAATTCATGAAATAAGATTTCTTCGTGGAAAAGTACAAAGAAAGAAAGAAAGAAAGAAAGAAGGAAAGAAAGAAAGAAAGAAAGAAAGAAAGAAAGAAAGAAAGAAAAGTAGAAATAACGAAATAAAGAAATACTCAAAGAATGAAAAACAATTTTTTAGATGAAAGGAAGAAAGAAATTTTATAGAAGAAAGAAAGAAAGAAAAAGAAATTCTTTTTTAGGAAGAGGAAAAAAAGAAAGCTAAATCGACTGCATGAAACTGTATGTCTCCGCGCTCAAAGGAACAAAATAAGAAAGAAAGAATGGAGAAAAAAAAACGAAGACAAAATAATTTTATTGAATAAACTAAATCGAATGCATGAAATAAGATATCTTCTTGCAAAAGTACAAAGAAAGAAAGAAAGAAAGGAAGAAAGAAAGAAAGAAAAAGAAATTCATTTTTCAGAAGAGGAAAAAGAAGAAAACTAAATCAAATGCATGAAACTGTGTCTCCGTGCTCAAAGAAACAAAGTAAAGAAGAAAGAAAGAAAGAAAGAAAGAAAGAAAGAAAGACGGAAAGAAAGAAAGAAAGAATAAAATAAAAAAAGGAAGGGAAAATAGTTTTATAGAACAAAGAAACCACAATTCATTTTCAGGAAGAGGAAAAAAAGCAAACTAAATCGAATGCATGAAATAAGATGTCTTCGTGCAGAAGTACAAAGAAAGAAAGAAAGAAAGAAAGAAAGAAAGAAAGAAAATAAGAAAGAAAGAAAGAAAAAGAAATTCATTTTTCAGAAGAGGAAAAAGAAGAAAACTATATCAAATGCATGAAACTGTATGTCTCCGTGCTCAAAGAAACAAATTTAAGAAAAAAGAAAGAAAGAAAGAAAGAAAGAAGGAAAGAAAGGAAGAAAGAAAAAAAGGAAGGGAAAATAATTTTATAGAACAAAGAAACCACAATTCATTTTCAGGAAGAGAAAAAAAAGCAAACTAAATCGAATGCATGAAATAAGATGTCTTCGTGCAGAAGTAAGAAAGAAAGAAAGAAAGAAAAAAGAAAGAAAGAAAGAAAGAAAAAAGAAAGAAAGAAAAGAAATTCATTTTTCAGAAGAGGAAAAGAAGAAAAATTAAATCAAATGCATGAAACTGTATGTCTCCGTGCTCAAAGGAACAAAAAAAAAAAGAAAGAAAATCTGAGAAAGAAAGAAAAAAGAAAGAAAGAAAAAAAAAAAAAAAGAAATAAAATAATTTTATAGAACAAAGAAACCACAATTCATTTTCAGGAAGAGAAAAAAAAGCAAACTAAATCGAATGCATGAAATAAGATGTCTTCGTGCAGAAGTACAAAGAAAGAAAGAAAGAAAGAAAGAAAGAAAGAAAGAAAGAAAGAAAGAAAAGTAGAAACAAAGAAATAAAGAAATCGACAAAGAATGAAAAACAATTTTATAGATCAAAGGAAGAAAGAAATTTTATAGAAAAAAGAAGATGAAAGAAACAATGAGAAGGAATGAAAGAGTGAGAAAAGAAAGTCCCGATGGAAAGAAAATATAACAACAATATATTTAAAAAAATAAATAATTACAAAAGGAAACGAACAAAAGAGAACGGATCAAACAAATAGAAGAAAGTAGAGAATAAAAAAAAAAATAACTGATACAACATATGTCATATAGCAAGAGAGAAAAAAAAAGCAAGAATTAAGCGGAGGGGGGAGTTGAATAAAGAAAGATAAAAGCCGACAATTTTAAAAGCCAAAGAAATATCCGTAGAATTGTAAAAGCCACATTGTGGCATGCCACGTCTCAACACTTGAGACACATCGTGTCGAACTGTCGTCTGTCTCACCTTTCGACATTTCTCCAAGATTCTAAACTACACAGAAAACGGTGGCTTCTAAAGAAAAAAAATCCAAACTCCACTATTGACTGTCAATAGCGACGCGACAAACAGGTTCTTAGAAAGTAAATGGACTACAAAGAAAAACGGCAATTCGAGTCAACTCAAGAAATTCTGAGTAAATTTATCTTTATACACTCAAGTATATACAAATCGTTGCCTTCGCTGTGGCTTAATTATCTTTATCCACATGGCAGTTTGTGGAATTCGTTGGGCTGTTTTTTTTTTTTTTTTTTTAGCAGGCTTCCACAGACATCTTTCTGTAATGCTGAAGACGTTTGGATAAAGAGCGTTAATTTATCTTTTTTATTATTTCGCCCCAAGATATCAATAAAGTCCGTAAGATGCAAGGAGTTACTGACAGTTAGAAAAGATCTGGAAAAAAAAAACTCTTTTAAGGGTAGGGGACGATGAAAGAACAGGAATTAAGAAGACAGAATATAACGATTGAAAATGAATTTAAATTTTGGAAGATTTAGTTGACTGGAAGCAAGAAGTCGGAAGAGAGTTCCAAAACCGGTTCCAATTATTTGAATTTTTGTATTCATATATCTTATACATCAGTGACGTCGAACGAGGTGCGTGATATCATTTGTATTTGCAGACGGTAAAATATTTTAAAATGAATTTCAGAATGTGATCAATAATATCTTTTTCACTAAAAGGAATATTAAATATTACGAATGAATATATTAGCCAATAATCTTGAAATTAATATCTAAATTATGGATGCAGACGGAGCCTACGATTTTAATATAAATATTATTAACGCTAGTCTTTCGGTGATGCTTTGACTAGGGTGTTTGTTCGATCGTTTGTCACATAAAGAAAGTAAAATTCTCACAAATAATTGCTCACCTATTTTGCATATTTATTCGAGTATGCAAAAATACAAAATTACGGCTTAACGATAGTTTGTTTACATACTGCAACATTCGCAACTAACTTCCGTTGCTTTCATGCAACTAATTGCTGAAATGTATACACACAGGGAAAACAATGTAGTTCTGTCACATACATCTGCACATATTTAGACGATCCTAATTTTCGCTGTACTTACGTAAATCATTCGTTTCTACTGTAAAATGATACCAAAAATATTTAGTGTGAAGTTGTTCGCAGTTAAATACTATCAATTTGAAAGAAAAATAATACCCATATAAATAAAAATTATTGAAATTTGTAGATCCGCGTTGCAAGATTTGAAATTTTTCGTTTATACACGCATATTCTAATATATATATATATATATATATATATATATATATATATATATATATATATATATATATATATGCATTGCTAGATCATCTGCGAGGAAGTTTCTCCACTGTTTTGGCCTACAGGATTTTTCTCTCCAGATTCTGTCTTTCATAGCTATAAATTTACCATTCGTCTGTGCGTAGAATATTGCTGCCACGTATGGTTCCGTACACCAGCTATTTATCTAAAGATCTTGTATCAAACCCAAAAGACAATCAACAGTATTACTGGCCCCCGATTTGGCGTCTAGTTTAGGATAGTTTATATCCCATGTTTTCTTTAGTTTAATTCCCTTTCCCTACGCCGTTTAGGTGAGCAGAGATGTCAGTTCTCTGGAAGATGCGGGGCGCCTTTAGTTTCAGGTGTGTTTTTCGTATTTGTTGTTGTGTTTGAATGAGTGTGTTTGAGTGAGTGCATGAGATGAATGAATGTTTTATAGTAT